GTTATGCACAAATGCCAAAATGTGAAAGAATCACTGCGCGGAGGGGGAGAGGTGTATTATTGTGTGCAAACAACAAGTGATGGGTTGGGCGGACAATGATCAAAGTAAAAAAATGACTCGAGTTCTAAGTTCAGTTTTAAGCTTTAGTTTAATGACAGCATAAAAACATTTTGGTAACAAATTTCTAACTGATTTCAGGGTTTGCATTGAATTGGCTGCTTTTGTTAGTTTTCCAAATTTAGTTGACGAATGTTTGGATGACAAAACAATACAGTTGCACAATTGAGAAAAAAGGAATTTGTATTGAATTTGATAGACAATTTCATTTAAAGTATTGGAGGTGAGTTCGGTTTAGCGAATAGAATTAAATAACATGAAATAAATTACAACAAAAACAAATAAGGAAGTGCTGAATGAAGGTGCAGTCGAACAATATGTGCTGTCGCACTTAAAAATTAGAGGCATGTGGAAATTTGGGTTGAAGTATTTACTCGATTTTTTCCATTTTGGACACATAGGCACACTGTTATTATAAAGAGACGCTCTCTGATGTTCATTTATTTAACTAACATATTGAACGATATATACGGCATAAAGTCAACCGGAAGTTCCAAAATTTCTATATTAGATATATGGGGTACTACCCCCAGTATTGACTCAATTTTGCTCATTTTTAACACACAAGCAGGAAGACATCAGCAAAACAGCTCTACGAATTTCGATAGCACATCTCACATTGAACGACATTTTTGGTAGTAGAAAGCCAATTGTGGGTATTAGGATTCATATATTCGGTATATGAGCGCTTGAAAAGTTATGGCCAGATATCGACAATTTTTAAAACTGATATAGCATATTTAGGCACTAACATATTTTCGCAAAGTTTTATCCAAAATACATATTAATTGGTGCTTGACTTGTACACTGAAAAGTGAAAGAAACGTATCGAATTTGAAATTGTGATATATGGAAATTAGGCGTGGCTGTTGTGAAAATCGATCGAGTAGTTGCCGATATATAGGATTTCAACAAAGGTGAGAGGTACCACACCCCTTCTTCAATTTTGAGAACGACTTCTATGGAGCCGAATCATATTGGCAATTTAATGCTTCGGACGTATTTATTTAGCAAGTTACCGCTTTTAATGGTTTTAAAAATAACCCCAATATATGCGGGAGATGTGGTCATCAGCCGATTTCATCCATTTTCACAATGTATGAGCACAACCTAAAAGCACTTGTCCTCAACAAGATTGTGAGATATGTCTTTACATTAAGTTATCTTCCCACTTTCAGTTTCAGGTTCAGTTTCAAACTGCACTCTTGAATTTTTTTTGCAAACAGTGAAGGAGTTTTTCTTATTTCGGAAGCTCTCCCTTCGAATAGATCACCTTATTTCGTATCAGTAACTTATGAAATACGAAAATATCTTTTTGCAATTGTATAAATAAACATACAATAATTATGTATTTATTTTCAATCGCATGACGATGTTGATTTGTTACGTCAATTGTCCGATTCGCTGCGCTCGACTAAGGCAAACTGGATGGTTGACATTGCTGTTAGTCTGTACATATTTAACTTTAAGAGTTAAGTTTTCAGTTGCGTGTCAGTCATTCGTCATGTAAATTTAAACAATTTCAGAAAGCTGTAATTATAAAAATATATAAAGTACACTAATAAACTGGTATTTTTTATGTGAGAGTAAGTACATGTCGGTAGTGAATGGTCTGTGGCGGTTGAGGAACAAGAAGAAGAACCAACTTTGCTAGTGCGTATTTTTTTGATCAATTCGATTTGCTATATTAAAGAATCATTAATATGACAAGAAGCTTAAGGGGTTAAATTCACGTGCAAGTCAGAAACCCCGCGTTTTTTGTTAATTTTCTAAGATACATTTTATTAAATAAATTAATTAAAATTATGTGAATTCATATAATTTAATGTACTTAAATAATCGGCGATTTATTTTGAAAAATTTTGGAGTCCCTTGAAACCGTAGCCGATCTTCAGGAGTACATCCAAAACAAAGGTGCTTAAACAAAATTTGGACACCCTGAACAGGGTGTGTTTAAAAATTGCCACGAAATTTGTAACACCCAGAAGGAAGCGTCGGAGACCATATAAAATATATACATACATACCTATATAAATAAAATGTAAATAAAAGGGTCACTGATTCCAAACGTAAACAAAGGTTGTGGACTTGGCTAAATGTAAACAAAGGTTGTTGACTTGGTTAAAATTGACCTCATAAAATGTAAACAAAGGAAAATTTACCCCTTAAAGTGTAAACAAAGGTGTACACGTTAATTTTTTTCAAGAAACTGCTCATTACTCAGAACCGCCAATATCGGAACACTATAAGATATAGCTTCCATAAAAAAAAAACGGTTTCATAAAATGTCATAAATCATAAAGAATGCATTCCGCATGACTCACTTGACCAACGAATTTTCCCTGCCAAACTATGTAGTGCAATGTGCACCTGTACGTCAAAATATGCACCAAACAATGAATAGTGGCAAAACCAGCACTCATTCGCAGAACAAATAAAATGCCACACGCTTACTATTAGCCTTGGTCACGAATTTTTCCCACTGCACAATGTCAAATGGCAGTGTTGTTGTTGGTAAATATAACCTACATTATTATAATGAGAACACAAAGCGATTCGTCACAAAAAAAGGGATTTGGTTGACTCAATGTAGTAGTTTTTAATTGAATGAGACGCAGGTGTAGCTTGCTACCCGAAACTCACCGCCTTTTGCCCCTGCTCGTTGAAAGCTCTCACGCTTATTGACCTGACTGTTCATTTACGCCAATAAGTAGGTAGTGTTGGAATTTATTTTTGACCACAATCGAATTAAAATTAATATTTGCATTGATTTACATATATTACATGTGCATATAAGACTGCAGTGTTGTGTAAAATATATGCAACTAAATATGACAATAATTATGGTTCGTTATAAGTGAAATAAGACCGGCTATCCTGAAATAAATTTTACAAAATCTAACGGACCAAATAGTCTTCATAAAATGTACGAAAAATAACTCCTTTATAATATCCTTCATCGTATTATTGATTTATTAGAGCAAATAATAAAAATTTCCCAAAAAGCTATATAGTATGCTGACAAATTACTGTACTTGGACCGAAAAAATGGGTCCGTTTCGGACGTAGTAAATTACGATTATGCAGTAACTTTACAAATTTCAATGCTTGAGGGAATTTCTTTTCGAAAATCTTGAAGGATCGATTAGTTAGTAGTGTTATTGCCTTTTAATATTTTAATTATTATTTAACCGACTGGTTGCATATATTTTTCTCAAAACTGTACGCCCATAAATAGCACTAATACTGTTAAAACAACACCAGCAATCCGCTATACTTTCCATAATTAATTACATTCATTAACTTTTATTGCTATTATTCAATTACATACACACATACATTCATACATACACACTTATATATGTTATTGTATGTAGTTATTAGGGTAATCAAAATTTAATCCAATACAATTTTGTGTAATGTAATTCTAATACTTATACACACACAAACAAAGGCAATTGAATATTCTAGTTATTGTGGTAAGTGTTTGTTTTTGTTATTGCAATTGTAACTAAAAAGCATAAATTTACATGCCACTGCCACAGAATCACTTACAGAATAATGCATATATATATATTTATACACCTGCATCTGCCCCTGTATGTAAGTATGTATGTGTGCAGTCGGTGGAGGGCTAGCACTGACAAACCGCAAATATTTCAAGCCCATGATTGACGTGAACTACAAATCGTGCAAAATATGTGACCGTAATGTGCAAATTTATAAATTATTTACACACATACATTACATACATACGCAAATACTAATCTCTATATTTATGCAATACGTGCAAATAAGTCAATTATTGTTTGTCATGATTTAAACTTTGAGTTATTTATATAATACTTTACAGGAATTTGAGAAATCCCACCAACCAACATGCGGCACAATTAGATGGCAACTCAGGTTAAGCAAGGTAGTAACACATGCGAGGACACAGACTTTAAAAGCCTAATGACGTGTACGTACCTTATTTTTTGAGAGGTCTAGTAAAGGGTCTCATGATTTTCGGTATAAAAACCTATAACAAAAAAATTATTAATTTTTCCTCGAAATAGATAATAAAACAACGATTCTTTGTATGTTGGGAACCTACTCGTCTCAAAAAATTTGCTCGACAGTTTGGCTTCGAATATTGCGCAAATTGCACTTCTTTCAACCAGTCTGTCATCGGGTAAATATTTGTACCAATATTTCTAAAAAAAGGTCTTTCTGTGGCGCAGGACAATAGGGTAAAAAAAACTAGAAAGTAACTGGATTTATGTCCATCGAAAGACAATCATCGACGCAAAAGTTTTTATTCATCTATTCTATTTGGTCTATGCTACAAAAACAAATGATTCCTTCTTGGATCTCTTGGAAGATAAATGAACTAGAGGATAAACTATAAGGTTTTACGTTGAGTCCACTGATTAAATTTTTAGGACCGTCAATACAAATGGTTCTCTAACGTACATGCAAAGGTTCTCGAGGCAGTTAGACCAATGTCTTTCCTAGACTGCTTTAAAAAAAGTTAAACTTAAACTATAGTCGGCTCTCCTTTCTATATAAATTAAGCAAAAGCTCAATTGAGAAGAAATATATTTATAAAATTATTTAAGTTTAGAGGGTCCTTCTATGAAAATGTTATTATGTGGATATGTGAGCTATAATGAACAGAAAGTTAGTTATTCTCTAATAGTAAATTTTAAACCAGAGAAAAGATACGTAGAGACACGTCCAAAAGACATGTCAGTTCTGAGCACTTTCACTCACTACGCTAGAAAATAATTAGACTAAAACGTTGCATTCCTGTTAATGCAGTAATACACTTCAGTACTCATAGATTGTTTTTTATTTTATAATATATAATATAATATATAGTTTAATAAACTCACCAAATAAATAACGCTTTGGTTTTGGAGTTATTTGCCATTTGTTGAATCCGCCTACATCTACAAATCCTGATATCAATATTAGAACTACAATACTTTCACTTTTTCAACCCACATACGAGTTATTTATTACGTAACCGAACCAAAAACCGAACACACTTTCACACTATTTTTTTATCTACCAAAACCTCGAACTCTTACTGTACACACGATTTGATTATACGCACAAACGAAACACTGCTTACACGAGAAAAATATTGCCGAAATGCACTTTGCACTTTAGAATATACTAAATGAAAAGATATATACTCGAACATTGCTACGCAATAGATTGAATTTTTCACTAAATAATTACTATATTAAAGAAAGCGGTGAACGACTTTACTTTTACTCTTGTTCACAATAAACGATTCATCCCATGCATTGAGTCAAAAAGAGAAATAATATTCGCGAGCTGCAAAGAAAATATAATATTTAAATTATTAAAATATTTTTACAAATACTGATTTTAATAAAATTGTATTGTGATGTTACTAAAAACTCGAAACTAAATATACTTAGAATACAACCAGAGGTAGTCTAACTTATTGTCCATCAGTAAAACATCTTTAAATAATGTGTGATAAATACAAATATACCTATGTTATCCCAGCTAAGTTTTTGAGCTCTCCCAGTTCACGGTTCCACTACTTTCTCTAGCAGACTTAAAATAAATCTAAATAATAGACTTCTTCATAAAAACACACTCTTTTGAAGTCAGATTATTACGAAGGTTTATCATGATAGCTGCTACGACAAATTCAGTGAGATAGAAGTGGTTTATTATTTTGAGGTTCAAAAAGTTTTTATTAAGGGTAAAATGGGCTAACAAGATTTTAAAAAATTTTTATACAAAATAAAAAATTACTAAAATTTGTTCGTTGATTCTAGAAAGATACCGTGTTCATAGAATATAAAATTGAAGTTTTCCAGCAATCTAGAAAATGTATGATTCACGGATTTAAAAACCCTTAACTCGCCGATAATGGCGATTTCGACGAATGAGTAGTTTCTTGGAGAATAAAAGGACGTGTGCGAAATTTCAGATCGTTATTCGATCCGACTCAGAACTAGTGCACGTATATATGGACGGATAGATTAAAAGAGAGACAAAGATGGCTAAATCTATTCAGATCATCACGCTGATCACTTCTACAATAAATAGATATGTACTTCGTGACAACCTTAATACGAATATACCCTGTTTAGGATATAAAAAGGAGGATATGTGATGGTTTCTCTAAATCTAGGAAAGTACCGAGTCGAACAAACAACGAGCATAAGTCGGATAGAGTAAGAATCAAATAATTCAATGTGGAACCCACATACCCTTCTGTATTAAATTGATAAAGTGTAAACTTTTTAGAAGAGAGCAGAGCTAAACTGAGAAGTGCCGAATCAAAGATGATTACAAAGTGTACAAGTTCAGAAAAAATAATACTAGTCTTTGTGCACTCAGTTCTCAAATTAATAATATTTTAAAATATGTTAATTAAATTTAACTTCGAGATAATTTCTTATGAATGAAATAAAGACTGCGGAAAGCTGCAAAAATACAGACTGTGAATATGTAGGCGCTTATATTTAAACGTATTTATATATGGTATATGTACATATGTACATGTATATATCTGTATATAGGAAGGCGTTGCTGTCGTATGCGTTATTAATCATAATCGCAGCTTAATTATCGCAACAGTACAATAATCATAACCATTAAAGAAACGCTTAAAGCGCGAGATATGATGACTTGTTTGTTTACAAATTTTAACCTATATGTACAGGTTGGTTGAAAAGTTTATGCGCACGAAATTAAATATACTGTTTTTGCTACGAAATATATTTTTTTATTCAATATGATCTCCTTTAACTTAAATACACTTATTTCAATGATCGTCCAATAATTTTATGCCATCCCTATAATGACTTTCCGGAAGCTCTGCAAAAATAAAAAAACGGCTGTAATACCTTCTTCATTCGACGAAAAACGCTTTCCACGAAATAATTGTTTCAGGTTTCTGAAGAGATAGTAGTCGCTGAGAGCCAATTCTGGTGAATATGGTGGATGCTCAAGCAATTCGTACTTTAATTCATTGAATTTTGTCAGTGTTAAAACACCTTTGTGAGCAGGTTCATTGTCTGAAAACCAGGTCTTTTCTCACGATTTTTTTTATGCAGCTGATCCATATTGCCATAATATTCAGAGTTGATTTTTTTTTACCTTTCTGCAGATGATATGAAGTATTGATGCTCAATGATTTCTGGTGTGGTTGTAGTTTTTGGTCGTCCTTCGCGTGGATGAGTGAAAAAAAATTTGGTTAGTAGTGCTATTTCTTGGTAAGACTAGTAAGAATGGTAAGACCAACCAACTTTTCAACCAACCTTTAAATATGTATGCATCCAGATATGTCTTTAGAGTGTTGTTAATTTACATATGTAAGTAATTACAGGCTCTTGCAAGTACCAAGCTGGTACAAGTGCGTACTTGCACACATACATGTATACATATGTACATGTATTTGACCATCGCCTGCATGTGGTGCACCTGCACTGATGATTACTTAAAGACTTTTAAGTCGAATTAAAAGCGATTAGTCATGGAGCCTAAGCTTAGAGAGTTCTTCCGCGCAGCGTCATGCGGCGAATTCCGCGAATCAGTGTATGAACATATGTATGTATAAGTGTGTGTGCAGACTGTATGTCAGCGATCAATGTGCAAGAAAGTCTTCGAGTGATTGGCACTATCATACTTACAAGCAACTAATGCGCATTCAAGGCGCACGTGTACCGCTATAATTTTTATATACATTAAATTGTAAAAACATATATGTATTTATAAATAAACAACTGTAAATATTTCGTTTACAAATAATCATTAATAACAACAACTGACGGAAAAGGTCGGTAGCTTAAAGAAGTATAGGGGGAAAAGCGCTAGAAAGCAAGAAAAGTACAAAATAGAATATGACAAAAACAGCATGCACTGCAATTGGAAGTGACTTAATAAACTGGTGCAAATTCATTTGCTATGCGGCCGGCTGTGGTTTGCGGGCGGGTATGGTGGTGATAAAGACGTCGGCGTCCGCTGTGTGCTGCCACTTGGATAATTGCTTTTGCTTTTGAACGTGATTTAACAATTAAAATTATTGTTAATGCAAAATAAACAAAAATCACCAGGAGCAGCAACAACAACAATAGTAACAAGCAGAGCGACGAGTATGCGCTTGTCAGCAGCGGCAAAGTGCAGTGGAAACATGCATAAATATAACACTCAAGAGTTGTAGTGTACAACAAGAAAAATAAAAACTGAACAATTTGCATATACACATGGATATATATGAATTAGTCAGCTTTGATGAGTTGCTGGGGATTTTTATTAATTTCTTTTTGTCTCTGGCGCTTCCAACATTTATATACAGACTTTAACGTCTAATCGTTCTATTTAAGAGGTTCGGTTACTCTAGGATCATCAAAAAATCGAGAATTTTTAACCGACCTTAAATACCCTTTAGTGTCCCAAAAACATTATTCCATTGCTAAAAGTGTGAAACAAATTTTTTGTCGGTCCCATCCGTTATCAAGTCTTATGTAGATTAACAGCCCGTCTGTTATTTTGTTTAAGATAGTACGGGTTCCCAGAATCAGCGTGGCCTGCCAAGGCCTCCCTGAAAATTGTGGTTCCAAATATTAGTCCAGTTGTCGCTATTTTATATCAAAAATGTTGTAATACACTTAAACCTGCTTTTACAATGCATGAATGAAGAAAATCCGATTTGTTTTTGCTTTCCCTTAGAATAAAAAAAAGATGTTGGCTTTTTCGTTGTGGCTCTAGACCCTAGATGTCCAAAATGACTTACACATAAAAAAAATTTACTTTCCACAAACTTCACACTGTGAAAAAATACTTTTAAGTTATTGTATAATAATACTTTAATCATCCAATGTTTTTTGGATTTGAAGAATGGAGAAGGCAAAGTTGAATTAGCATATTTAAACAACGCCCCCATACAGTAAGATCAAACAGCACGAATTTGCAGTGTTTCACGCACTAAATCGTGTTGTGTTTACATATTTACTACTGTCGGTGACCTTGTCAGTTATTTTGTTTTTTCTTGTAAACATATCTCAATATAAAAAAAGAAAATATTACAGGTGATAAAAGTCCGTCGACAACGTATTTGTTAACGTTGTTTTTCTACTGCTTATGTCCGTCTGTGTTTTTGTGTTCTGTGCCCCCTCTTGTGCCCCTATTAGCAACCTAACTACCGCGTTTTAAAAACGCTGTTGTTGCTTTTTAACACCCTTCTCATCTGCTCGCCGATCAACTGAGTAAGCTGCATACTGTTATTTAATCAGCGAAAAAACTTTGATTTGTGTTTCTTTAGATAACATGAAATGCCAACAAACAAGCAGAAGAGCATTTCGAACGAACTTACAAGAGTCTCCGAATTGTAAATATTTGTGAAAACGTTCTATGAGTTATGACAACAACAAGCATAGTACATAATAAGAATATGTATGTAGATACATATATAGAAAAATAAATGTAGAGACGTAAGGCGGTAAGTTTAAATAAGATAGGCGGTAATCTAGTAGAACATTTTAGCGAAAGGGGGCGTCGAAGATTGATGTCAGATGAATTTCAGATAGCAACAGTCAAACGGATGTTCTAAGGTAGCTGTCAAATGGAATGTCACAGGATAGTTGTCAAATTTATACCAGATCTGTCATCTGTTTCACAACCACCAGTGAAACAGATGACAGATAAGTGTCAAATTTAAGTTGTTAAATGTATGCTAGATGGCAGCAGTGCAAAAGGCAGCCGCCAAATGGTTGTCGGATGGTAGCTGTCAAGAGGAGGTCATGGGAATTTTGGCCAAAACCGTAACAACTTTGACCATGATGCATGATTCACACTCATACTTTCATGCGATAATTGCAGCCAATGGAAGATATAACCATAAAATTTTGTATAATATTGGTACTGGTAAACTGATAAACTGCTGCAGTGCCGAGTAATGACCATCAGAATCATCAGAGTAACAGCTGCTGTGGCGACGGCGGTTATATTGCAAACTAATGTACATACAAGCGCAACACAGACCACGAGCTTCAATTACACAACGTGCTAATACGTATTCTGACCCTGAATCAAGTTAGAGCTTCGAAGAGATAACTCAATTTAGGCGCAACGAAATATTCATCTTTATTCAAATACACACACAACACACGTGGCTCTGTCCACTCTTTGGCTGCCTGAATGTGTGATAATTCTTGCGTAGCGCTTGCATTATGCGGTCATTGTGGCAGTTTAGGCCAATATGTTATGTAAGCGGGTTGGCTAGGCGCTCTATGCTAGGCTGATTAACGTTGAAAAATGTATAGCAACACTAGCTGTTTGGGTGTGTCTATGTG